AAAAAAAAAACGGGGCCGTTTTTGGGAGGGCTGCAGAATGCAAAAAGTTTTTTTTTTAAATTTGCCTCTTCAAAATCTTGGTGCGTCTTATACTCCAGACTGTCTTAAACACTGAAAAATATGATAATTGATTTTCACATTCAAGCAGTGGTTCTGCTGAACTGCAAAATGCGTTTATGGTTTACAAAGACTAGAATTTTTAAATTACCTTTTTATAAAAGCAAAAGTTGCATAATCTGTTCTTCTGTTGCATGAATTTACCTGGCCTTCTTTTCAGGGCTGAATTAAAAAAATTCTCCTTCCTAAGGAAACAAGCAAAGCCCTATCTTAGAAACATTTCTCTACCTGAATGCTAATCTGATTTCATTTCTTTTTGTATTGTCTTCTTTCATGGCCACAGCCATTCTGCATGATGTCTAAATCATTCATTTTAAATCTTACTTAGACATTTACAGTCATTCAGTTCCTACTGTTCGACTCTTTCCCTTCTCTCCAGGGACCTGTTTCCTATAGAGATGAGTTGTAGCCTGTTTATGCCCTTCTGAACCATCCAGGAATTCATAGTGATTTGGCCTGTTTTAGAGGACTTCTGTTTCCTCTCAAAAATCTCCTGGAGCTTTCAACATCTGCCCAATTTGAGATTCATCAAATTTTCCTGGGTATCCTATTTCTTAGGGTTGGGATAGAATAGGCTGAAGATTAATGCCACTTTAAAAAATATTTAATTCATTAATTAATTTTTTCATTAGTTTATAGTGATTAGAATTATAGTGCCAAGCCTACTATAAGAATGGTTAGATCAATCTGTTTAAATATATAAGGTAAAAGAGGGAGGCTTGACTTTTATGGCAAAATAGTTGGGAAGGGGAACATCTCCTTATCTTTGCTGTTTTTATTTCCAGTCCTCTTCCTACTCTGAAAGTTTTTCTTTTCAATAGATGAAAACTACAAGGAAAAAAAACCCTATTCTAATCATGTCAACTTTTGCTGGTTTAAAAAAAGCCCCCAACTTGAATCGTGGCAGGCAGAGGTGTAAATAAATGGGATTGGTTCTATCACATCTCCCTTGTTTTGCTTTCCACAAAGTGTGAAATGCCAAATTATTTTCTTCAGATACTTATTCTTTACCTGCGAACAGCATCCCCCCCCCCAAAGGCTACTAACTTCTTACAATCAGGAGACTGTTGGTGTCGTTTTCGACTAACAAATGCTATTAGGAGGCATAAGAGCAGTTGCTTGTCAGATGCATAAGATCAGGTTTATGCATTTCATGCGGCAGCTTGTGAAAACTTATGCCTATTAATAAAATTTGACAGTCAGAAAGACACTATCAGATTTCTTCTGACATTTTGTTACATTACACTAACATGGCTCTCCTCCAACTGTCTCACCTAAGAAAGCCAGGTAAGAATATTTATGGTTTAGTTTAGTGTACACTTATGTCCATCTGCCCTTTCTAAATTACTTTAATCAGATAACTTAATTAGTTTGAGTTGACAGGTATATAGTTCGTATAAATTGCATGCACTGGGTGAAAGGAAGAACAAGAAACTAGTGAGCAACTGTTAGTTTTGCTTTATGGATGCTTATAATCTACACATCACTCTGCTAACAAAGCAGAACACTATAAAAGTAGAAAGCAGGAAAGGAAAGAATATCAATTATTTATATTTAAAGAAATTTTCAAGTATACCATTAACCAGGGGCCCAGCCACTGAAATATTAGCATTTGTATTTCACATTTTCATTCGAAACTTACTGCTTATGTAGTACTTTTACCTTCTCTTTCTTGTCTAAGTGCCAATTTTCTCCCCCAAGGTATTAAATGACTAATGTATTGGTCTCAAGCCAGAATGTTTGATAAATGCCTATTTCAAGGCAGCTCTTCTGCAAGTCTTAATTAAAGTTTAATGTCAAATTGTAGTTTACTTTCAAATCCTCTTAGGTGTTTCTTTTTTTTTCCTTTTTACTTGTTAACATCATTAGAGAACACTGGGTGAAACATAAGATAGACATGTTCACTCGTGTGCATAAGTCCTGCCCAGTGGTGGGTTTCAAAAAAATTTCGAACCTACTCTGTGGGTGTGGCCTCCTTTGTGGGTGTGGCTTGCTGGCCAAGTGACTTGGTGGGAGTGGCTTGCTGGCCATGTGTTTTCTTCCCCCCCCCTNATTAACTGAAATAGAGGGTGCCAACTTTGTGTAATCTGAAAGGCAGACGGTGACATTTCCTTATTGGTTATTTTGGATTTCATGGTAATAATGTTTTTGAATACATATGTTCAAAGTGGTTCTAAAAAGTTGTTTCTGTTCTTCTTTCAAAGTTTGTCTTTGCAAGATTTTGTACTCAAGAAAACTGTTCTGCAAACCTTCAAGTTTCTGGAAAAGTTATATTTCCAAAGTAAGTCCATTATAATTGAGAGAAAGTGAATAAGGTTCGTGAACTTAGCTTTCTATCTAAAAAAGTTCTTTTTAGAAAGATTGGAATCAGGTACCAGAAAGTTCTGCAAGGCATAAAGAATCATGTCTGAGTGGAGTCATAGAGGAGCTGAGTAAATTGACACAAAGATAGCTGAATAAACATGTGGAGCCCTGGCACTGTATGAGAAACTATGTTTATATGATTATATTCTGCAATTAATCTTCTGTCCTCAAAACATATTTCACTGGTCTTGTTTATATATACTGAACTATTATATACAGTAGTTTGCTTTTTTTGTTTAGCACACTATGCAGACTGTTTCCAGTTCAATGTTATTTGTTTAATCAGGTCAAACTGTCCCATTCAACAAACAATGGTTTAAAAAACCTGCCTTGATAATAACGTGTGAATGCAACAAATGCATTAATGTCCATGTAGAGCATTGCACTGTAATTTAACAAAATAGTACATTGTTGAAATAGCATAGCAACTCCCTAAGATTAGATAATATAAAATATTCTTATAACCATTCAGTCAGGTGGTACAAGATCACCTTGGTGCTGCCACCTGATTATATAAAACAACGAAATTCCACTCATGCACAGATTTATAATATCTTCCCAAGCTATTTTAGGCAGAGAAGGAATGTTCTCCTTTTTTTTTCTCTAGAAAGCATAGACTTATTAACGGTAGTTTTGCATTTACTAGTGGAAAACATACACCTTTTCCCTGGATCTTTGCATACCCTCTGTTATAAAATTGTACCTGCCACCTCATGCTGTCTTTTGCTTCCTAGCCTGTAATGATAATTGGAGATCTGGCATTAATGAGAGTTGATTCAAATTGTGGGAACTCCAAGGAGTTTATAAGGGGCTCATAAGTGGTTTCCAGTCACTGATAAATGTAGGCATTGATCTTTCTCTAAGCAAACAAGTTAATTTTGTCATCTCTGCTGTTTCTGTCATCTTCACCACCCATTTTTTCCGTTGTGATAGTTCACAGTCTTTCTATTTTTGTGCATATAATAGTCTCGCAGGCCAGTCTTATCTATCATGATGTTGGTAAAAAGATATATAGACTTCAGTGATACCATCTGCAAACCTAGTTTTCAGTTTAAAAAAAAATATTTTCACAATCATCGTGCATAAATTAAAACGAAAAGTACTGGATTTTTCGGAGTATAAGACACACCTTTTTCCCTCAGAAAAGAGGCTGAGAATCTGGGTGCATCTTATACACTGAATACAGCATTTTTTGCCTCCTGAAACACCGCCCCCTTCACCAAAATGGCCATGCATAGCTTTTAGGAGGCTTTCAGAGTGCTCCTGGGGGCTGGGAAGGGCAGAAATGAGCAAAGAATGGGCCCTTTTTTCTCATTTTTGTGGGCCCCCACCACCCAGGATCTCTCTACAAGCCTCCTAAAAGCTATTCATGCCCTTTTTTTGAAAAAAAAAACGGGGCCGTTTTTGGGAGGGCTGCAGAATGCAAAAAGTTTTTTTTTTAAATTTGCCTCTTCAAAATCTTGGTGCGTCTTATACTCCAGACTGTCTTAAACACTGAAAAATATGATAATTGATTTTCACATTCAAGCAGTGGTTCTGCTGAACTGCAAAATGCGTTTATGGTTTACAAAGACTAGAATTTTTAAATTACCTTTTTATANCTTTACCTATCTTTCTAGAGCAATAAAATCTCTCGTGCTCTGTGTTATGAAGAACCTTAATAAAAATTATGCTAAAAACATTCTTAAATATGCAATGTTCAAGCTATTTGGACTTCATTTTTTTGCATACCGCTGCCTGGGGTTTGCTTTTGAGTGGATTTCCTTAGAAGCATTATAAGAGAGAATTCAAATTTGGGGTGTACGCTGCCGTGCAAAACCTTGTTTCAGGATAAATGATGAAATCTAGAAATAGCTTATATTGTTGATTGGTAAATATTGTTTTCCGTTCTCTGCAATTCATTTATTTGATTTCGCCATGCTTAGAAAGATGTAAGGGATATTCAGACTCCTATACATGTTGAAGCTACCTATCACCTGGGGCACCATGTTTTGAAGAAGAGAAATGCTGATGAACTCCAACCACTCCAGCCAGTACTTCAGCAACGGAAGGAGGATAATATTGTGCGTAGCAAGGTATGTCATGCTGGCTTGTACGATGGTAAATGGAGTCTAACAAGCTGAAGTTGAAATGGGCTACTTTTCTGTTTCAGATCCTCATCTGAAGGATTTTTCTACTTATATGGACTTGATGGCGGGGCTGGCTTTGAAGTAGTATTAACTGTACTAAATTATGGATTTTATAACATTATCGCACATAAAACCATAGAAAAAGCATTTTCTCATGCAGAAGGGAAGGAGAACTCATGTTTGTGCTAAGTTCTGTAACTATTAAAACCATATGGAACCTGGATCACCATCAGCTGTTGTGATTCATCCATTCTTTTAATGTAATTGAGACATAACAAAGGCCTATAGCCTTGTGTATACTTTGGATGGCTCTAAAAATGTCAAACTGTAAACAAAGTCCCTACATATTAAGCCAAATGACTGACTTATTGCCTTGATCTCCAGAAAACGCCAGGCAGTAGTCCAGACATAACAACATAGGACTTCTGCTGCTGGCATAGTTTTCTGGATCAAGGCAAATATTTTTATTTTCTGATACACAGTTTTTCAATATAAAGGATAGAAAAGCAGTTGAACATAACAACTGCTGTAAATTGATACACGCTCTCTAGATGCTGTTGTGAAAGGTCAAAGGGATTTGTTTCCACATGAACTTTCCTAGTGGCATCCAACAAAAATGTCAAAAGTGAAGTACCTTCTGTTCTTCTCTTATCACTTTGCTTTGGAAACTATTTCATTTAAAAGAAGTATTCTTACCATCATCCATAATTTTGCTGGATCTTGCCATAAGGCAGTGTGATATGACTGTCCCAGAAATTGTTTTTTAATTATTTTTGTTGAGAAATGGCAACAACTGGCTAATTATTTAATTTATTGCTGTATTTTTAGGCAAGTTAGGGGAAATATTTTGCTTCTTTCTAGGGTTTGGCACCTTTGCATATTTGTGTGTTGGAAAGGACTTTTGTGGCTTTTTTAACTGGATATTCTTATAAGAACACCCTGTGTTTGATGTTGTGGTATGTTGGAAGCTTTATGTGGTGATAAGGGCTGTTTTGAACTTTTGGTACATTGATTATAAAAGACAGCCTTTTATTTCAGAAAGGTGCCCTTTAGATTTATTTAATGTAATTATTTCTTTTCTTGGTTTTGCTTTTGGATTTTACTTCATAAAGTTATAAAACATTTTGTTTTATCCTTATGAAGCCGTTTTTCAGGTCCAGGATGTGTTTAGGGGGGTTGTGTTT